AATTTTCTTAATTTTTTTTTTTTTTTTTTTTTCCAAGATATTTTTCATTTGTCGCTTGTGAAAATCGTGACTTATTAGGGCCGGGTGTCTAAGTTGTTTACCCGTTTTTCTAAGCCTCCTTCGATGCGAAGAAAGGCAGGCAATTGCACAATTGCTAAGCGACTTAGTCGGCTGCAGGCGACTCAACAATAAGGTGTTGAGTTCAGCACAGATACCAGCTTGTTTCGTTCACGATGCTCAGCCAGAAGCAGGCAACAGCCAGCAGATGCTCTGGAATAACAACCAGACGAGATAGATAGATAGATAGATAGATAGATAGATAGATAGATAGATAGATAGATAAATTAAGCCTTCTATAGATAGATAGATAGATAGATTGATAGATATAGATAGATAGAATATGAACAGATAGATAGATATGAACAGTTTGATAGATAGATAGATAAATAGATAGATAGATAGATAGATAGATAGATAGATAATATTAAGAACTGACGAAGATAGATAGATAGATAGATAGATAGATAGATAGATAGATATAGATAGATAGATAGATAGATAATGAACAGTTTGACATAGATAGATAGATAGATAGATAGATAGATAGATAGATAGATAGATATATGAACAGAATAGATAGATAGATAGATAGATAGATGAATGATATAGATAGATAGATATGAACAGAATAGATAGATAGATAGATAGATAGATTTTGATAGATAGATAGATAGATAGATATGAACAGCCTGAGATAGATGGATAGATAGATAGATAGATAGATAGATGATAGATAGATAGATAGATAGATAGATAGATAGATTATGAACTGGCTGTGGTAGATAGATAGATAGATAGATAGATGTCTGGATAGATAGATAGATTTAAAACAGTTTGACATAGATAGATAGATAGATAGATAGATAGATAGATAGATGGATAGATAGATATGAACAGATGGGATAGATAGATAGATGACATAGATAGATAGATAGATAGATAGATAGATAGATGGATAGATACCTGAACTATGAATTTGACAACGAAGATAGATGGATAGATAGATAGATAGATAGATAGATGATTAGATTGAACAGTTTGAGATAGATATAGATAGATAGATAGATAGATTGATCAAATCTTGATAGATGATTGTGAACAGTCATAGATTGGATAGATAGATTGATATTAGATAGATAGATAGATAGATAGATAGATAGATATGAACTCTTTGATATAGATAGATATATAGATAGATAGATAGATAGATAGATAGATAGATAGATAGATTATGAACTGGCCAAGATAGATAGATAGATAGATAGATAGATAGATAGATAGATAGATAGATAGATATATATAGATATATATGAACAGTTTGACATAGATAGATAGATAGATAGATAGATAGATAGATAGATAGATAGATATATATATATATATATATATATAGATAGATAGATAGATAGATGGATAGATAATAGATAGATAGATAATGGAATATCCAGAGATAGATAGATAGATAGATAGATAGATATGATTGAAGATAGATAGATAGATAAGATTCCATGTATATGAGATAGATTATAGATAGATGAATAGATAGATAGATAGATAGATAGATAAATAGCCTGACATAGATAGATAGATAAATGAATAGATAGATAGATTTTTATGGACAGATTATGGATAGATAGATAGATAGATAGATAGATAGATAGATTATGAACTGAACATATGTATAGATAGATAGATAGATAGATAGATAGATAGATAGATGTGAACAGTTTGACATAGATAGATAGATAGATATAGATAGATAGATTTAGATAGATTGATAGATAGATATGAACAGAATAGATATAGATAGATAGATAGATAGATAGATATCGTAGATGATAGATAGATAGATAGAAACAAACAGGGTGTTAGATAGATAGATGATAGATAGATAGATACATAGATTGATACACATAGATAGATAGATTATAGAACTACGTTTAAGATAGATAGATAGATAGATAGATAGATAGATAGATAGATAGATAGATATGAACAGTTTGACATAGATAGATAGATAGATAGATCCAGATAGATGATGGATAGATAGATAGATAGTAAACTTTTTGACATAGATAGATAGATAGATAGATAGATAGATAGATAGATAGATAGACATATATGAACAGATTATAGATAGATAGATAGATAGATAGATAGATAGATAGATAGATAGATAGATAGATAGATAGATAATTGGGTAAGTATGAACAGACTGAAAACCATATATCAGACAGAAAGGGACAGAAGGTAAAGACAGATAATTATGTCCAACCTCTTCTTGAAATAATAAATATAACTGAAAGAAGAAAAAAAACATAGTTGCAATTAGTTAAAATCCAATGTCTATAAAGATAGAGTTAAAGTAAAACTTTCCCGCCTAACATTAAGATGGCTGACGCTGCACTCCAGGAGTGCAACATTCTACGCTTTGTTGGCCTCACGTTTTGCAAGTCAATTGCTACTTTTGCTGCGAGGCAAGTTATTTCACTGTCTCGTGCGAAATAATATTCCTCGTCAGAATAGAACTTGCACATTTATAAATCTAGCACTCTTCCCTATATTGAATCCTGTTGACATATCTGGTCAGGTGCACTTACTGTACATCGCATGATTCTTGACAGAATCCAAAGAAGGATCTTCAATGTAATCGATCCTGATTTCAAGGGTCTGCAATCTCCCCACCCCCTGGTATCTCGTCTCCAGTCATCGACGTGATGTGACTTCTCTACTGTCTTACAAATATTTTCATGGCTACTGCTCTGATGAGCTTTTTTTCCTGGTGCTCTGACTAGACGAATTTAAGCGTGCTCCCGGATTGGTACCTAAGTCACACTGTCGGACTGTTGAACTAGACAGAAGCCACCTCCATTTCTACTCTAACAGCTTTTTTATTCTTGCACTTCCCAGCTGTGGAACTCCCTTCCGATTTGTTGCTTCCCTGATAACTACAATCTTCAAAAATTTTCTTGAACCCTGTTCCTTTTTGCCCTTCCCTTATCCTTCTTTTCAAGGCTATTTATAGGCAGACAATAAGACTGTAAGAATTTTCCAAAAATAATAATGATTATACTGATAACAATTTTAACCCATAGCGGGGGGGGGGAGGAATCAGTGGATTTATATCTTTCCGAAATTTAATGTGCGTAAGTTATTATTACGAACCTGCCCGGAATTGGAACTCGGCTCTCCGTTTTCAGATTTTGAGCCGTTACCCATTACACTAGAGTAAGCATGTCCACTGTTTTCGCGGAAAAACAGCATAGTGTAAATGAAAAATGCCACAAACTTAAAGAAAATAAAGTATTATCGTCAAAATGCTTATGTTATTATTTAGATTAAAGAAAAAAGTATTTTTTAATTATTTTTTGAAATTTTTTTATATTTTCTAACACGTTCGAAATTTTGGTTAAAATCGTCTTTGTTTACGTCATCGCGGCGACGTTTAAAATAACATTGTTTTTTTTTTTTGCGTTTTTTTACCGTTGAAAACATATTGATTTGGAAATTCTTGTAAAAATAAAATAATTGTCCAATCTTAATGAAATTTTCAGGACTTATTCACAAATCAATGAAATTATTTTTGAAATATTTTTTTTTAGAAAATTTTGGTAAAAATTATATTTTTTTTAAATATGTTACCCCACATTTACTTAATTTAATGAAATTTCGCCCAAAACCTTTTTGGTTCCTGATTTTTTTTTTTTTTTTTTTTTTAAAAGTAGGAGTCTTCGAAGATGGTAAATAATCTACTTTTTTTTTTCAAAATTTGAGCTATTTAACTGAAAATCTGCTCTGAATTGAAAAATAATGAATCCAATAAAACTATGATATTACTTAATTAGAAAAGCTTTTAATTGCTTTTGTAAATAAGTAATATTAAGAACATTATTGTCTGAAGAAATAATTTTTTCTGATGAATAATTAATTTTACAAGAATTTTTTTTTTTTTTTAAGAAATTTTAATTATAATAATTTATAATAGTTTTTAATCGTGTAAAGCTCTGTATTAGGAGGGTTCCTCGATATTATGTACTAATTAAGTAGAAAAAAAATTTACGAGTCCAAAATTGCTAAGTTTAATAAATTTAGTTGCGCTACTTTTTTTTTTAAAAATAATTTTTATGTTGTATTTTTTTACTTAATACATTCCCTTATTTCCATGTATGATATACAGAAATTGCCATTATTATAACAAGGTCACGTGATCTAAGGGTTTTGTCCCTTTACGTGGCCTTTTCAAAACATTTCGTTTATTAACCGATTGTATTTTCCGATCAGCTGTAAAAAGTGTAAACTTTAAATTTTAAATTATTTTTTTCTTTTTTCATTTACTATTTCACTAAATAATTTTATTTTATGTATTGTATTTCCATTAGTGTGTGTCATACTCAAATAGAATAATTTTTTTTAAAACTCAGACTTAAAATTATGTCATTTATGGTCATCAGTAGTAGCTGTCATCGGCTCGTCAATCAATCATTATCAATAAGATCGAACAACTGAACAGGACCGCTCGTTAATAATTGGTTGTATATTATTTTTTTATGCTATAAGTAACAATGATTTCTTTGAAATCAGATTACTTTAACTTTAAATTTTTTAATTTTACTAAAATAACGTGTCAGAATTTTTTTAAATATTTTAAAAATCGATAAATTTGTGTTTGTTTACAAATTTCTTAAAATTAAGAAAATGGCCGTTTTAAGAAAATTTAAAATTTGAAATTAAATTTGACAATCAAATGTATATAGTTTCTATCTGAAATACACCAGAATTGTTTAATTAATAGAAATCGTAAATTTAATTATTAAACTTTCAATTAAAGCTAAATGAAATCTTCAAGAATGTTTTTTCGTTGTAAAAAATTCATTTTAAACTTCAATATAGAAAATTTATGCCGAAATAGTGGACATACTTACACTAGAGGCACATACAAGCTTACAGTCCCAGGTATTCTCAAGCGGTCACCCATCTAGGTACTGACCGGGATAGACGTTGCTTAACTTCTGTGATCGAACGAGAATCGCTGTTCCAACGTGATATGGTCGTAAGCCTCGCTGGCGCAGCATTTGCTCGTTGGAAAGGAAATTATTTTTCAAATCCCCCTTGTTCTTCGGGGAAACACATCAAAATAAAACTTTTCCAAATAGGCTTATATATTCAGTATATAGATGTGAACAGATAGATAGATAGATAGATAGATAGATAGATAGATATCTGGCTAACTCATCCCTGTAGAAGACGCTTGCTCAGGCACATTTGTGTTTCTTTGACACCCTCAGAGTTAAACTCTGCTTTATACTGCAACTCTGCTGAGCGAACCTTTGAAGTCGTTTCTGAGGCAAACGTGTAGGATCTGATGTGACCAGTGTTTAAACGAGGGCCAGTGCGCTCAAACCTCGGTCACGATGACTTGTTATTTGGTGAAGGTTTTGTTTGTCATAAATTCCTGAAAGAGTTTATCAAGCTTCAGTTAAGACTGGCAAAGTCCGTGCTGTTGCTTTGGACATCTCGAAGGCCTTTCACAGGTTTTTGGCACACTGGTCTTCCTCAAGTTATTTCCGGAATAAAAGAATTTTTGAACTAATTAAGTATTTCCTGTCTAATCGAAGAAATGAAAGACGTCTTGAATGGCCACTCTTCTAGATCATTTTGTACTAATGCAGGCGTACCTCAGGGTTCTACCCTTGGACCTACTTTGTTTTTAATTTTCATCAGCGAGGGAATCAGTTCTCAACTTGATATCTATGCTGATAACACAACCATAACTCTTGTCTGATCATTTCCATTAGGTGAAATTGGTAGATGATCTAAAAAAGATGACCTACACTTTATTGTTAACTGGGGCAAGAAGGGGCTTGTTCATTTTAGATCCTCCAAAACGAAACTTATCTCTGTTAATCACCTGAAAGACCTTTTCCTGCCTTTCATCAGCATGTCTGACCCTAGACTATAAGAGTGAGACGCTCTCTCGGTCAAATATTCTCAGCTGATCTTAAGTGGAAAGACGATATTGAATCTATTTCTAGATGTGCTTCTGAGAAAGTCCGTCCATTATGTCGTTCTAAGCCATTTCTTCTCTCCAGTAGCTGTCTTGCTTATTCATAAGTCTACCATTCGCTTTGAATACTATTGCCACCTTTGAGACGGTGCTCCTGTGGTATGTTTAGAGATTCTTGATAAAATCCAAAGAAGAATCAGCAACGTTATTGGTCCTGACTTGGCATCTCGGTTTATACTGCAAAATTGATGAGCGGTAATGCAGCTTTTCCCCCGCCGTAATTCAGGTTCCTTTTCTTTTTTTCGATAAACAGTTTTATGGGAAATATCTTCAGTATGGTAGACAGACTTTATGAATTTAAGTCCAGTACTGGATGAGCAACTAAATCTCGTCAATTCGCAGTCGAAACGCCTAGATGTAACCGTAAGTTCTACGCTAACAGTTTCTTTCCACGCACTTCTCATTTGTGGAATTCAATTCCGGCTTCATGCCTTCGAGCCATCTTTGATCTTCAAAAATTTAAATGTAATGTCAATCGCTATCTACTGTCTTGATTACTCTTCTATTCTCTCTCGCTCTATTTTTCTTGTTCTTTCACACTCAGTATCCCCTCGGCTTTTATTGGCTTCACTGCTTTGCACGGAGTGATATATATATATATATATATATATATATATATATATAGATAGATAGATATAGATAGATAGATAGATAGATAATAGATAACTAGACTCGTTTCGAAAAACCCTCGAATTTTCGATTTGCTAATCAAATCAATCTCGAGGGAAAAAAGGTTTAAAAAAAGAAAGAGCTACAAACATGGACTTCTGCCGACAAAAAATCGCACAGATGCAGGTCTGAAGCCCAAAGAAAAAACCCCGATACGAGTAACAACTAACTAACAAAAGAGCTCAATACAACCGTAGATTTTTATGTTTATACATTCTTTTTTATAAATACAAATATGTAAGTAAATGTTCTGTTTATAATAAACAATATTAACAACATTTACCCGCCTGAATGTCCGAGAAATTTTCATAGAAAATATGCGTCAGAAATATTCGTCCTCCAACAGGAATCGAACCTGTATCCTACACGGAACCGTCATATAGCCTGACGTGCCTTAACCGATTGGGCCACAGAGAAACGTTCGGTTAGCAAGGTCGATTTTACTGTTTTTAAACTACAATTTTCTATGAATTTGTCACGTACACTCATATCTGCTCATGGCGTATCCAAATGTTAAAAGGAAAGAAAGAAATGATGGAGTAAAAATCCACCGTTCTTACCACTTACATTTAAAAAGAACTGCTCAATACAAAGTAAAGCAAAATAATATTTTTATTATAATAGATTATAATAAAAGTATTTTACATCGCTACACAAAAGCTTTCATGTTTGTATACAATGATTGCACTTCCTCAGTCGATGGTAATGTTTTAATTATAATATTAATAAATAAAGAAATTAAGTTATAAACAAATTAAGAAACTACGAATATATATATATATGTGTGTGTGTGTGTGTGTGTGTGTGTGTGTGTGTGTGTGTGTGTGTGTGTGTATATCTATGTATATATAAGCAAATAATACAACCAACACCGAAAAACTTAAAATCATATGAACAAAATAATTAAATAAATAAATAAAGTAAATAATAAACAAGTTACGAATATAATTACACACACACGCACACACACACACATATATATATATATATATATATATATATATATATATATATATATATATATATGAAAGGCTCAAACACTAATATTCCATGGTGATAATTTATAACATTGGAATCGTAATCACAAATTTTTTTTATATATCCAGAATTATATTTTCCGATTTCTTTTTGACTTTATAGGTCTGATGATTTGGATCGTGATTACATTCCAATGTTATAATTATAACCATGGAATATTAGTGTTCGAGCCTTTATAATATATTCTTACTCTGTTCTTACCTTGACTTCAATGTTCAGTTTTATATTATATATATATATATATATGTGTGTGTGTGTGTGTGTGTGTGTGTAAAATTGGAAAATTTCCTCTTAGAAATTTGTTTATATATATATATATATATATATATATATATATTGACCACTGATATTATTAATATATATATATATATATATATATATATATATATATATGCAGTTCTTAAAGAAATTACCTGAGATTCATTGGCCTAGGTGTGTTAAGGTCATGAGTATATAAAGTTAGACCCCCACCCTTCTTTCCGTTGCGTTTCTAATCTTCTGAATATCACGGTAGCGTTAAACTAGAGTAATGAGTAATGTCATTCACATTCACACGATATCAATATATATATATATATATATATATATATATATATATATATATATATATATATATATATATATATATGTATGTATATATATATGTCTGTGTGTGTGTGTGTGTGTGTGTGTGTGTGTGTGTGTGTGTATATATAGAAAATAGGAAAGAACTCGTTAGGTAAAATAATCCAAAGTTCTTTAGTATTTTTTGTTATTATTTTTAAAAATAAAGTAGAGCCTAATATAATTATTTATTTAAAAATATGATTCCATCGCTACATAAGAGTTATACTGAAGTTTTCGGCTGTTGTTTTGAAACATGAGAACTCTTATGTAGCGATGGAATTTTAAATAAATAATTATACACACACACATATATATATATATATATATATATATATATATATATATATATATATATATATATATATTATTGTTTTTAAGTAGCATAGTGATTATTAGGTCGTTAGCGTTTAGAATATCAGACATGGGGTCCAATCTCGCCTAAAGGCCGTGGTCTGCATCATATTTGGGAGATAATGAAAAAAGCAGCCGTTTATGATAACTAACATAACTTTTGTTGGTTCTTCACGGAAGCAAAACTGGAAATTGCAATGTTTGTAGAGACGTATCAGTTACTAAATGCCGGATAAGATATGTTAGCTAAGTGTTGATACTCAACACAGTATTGACTGGAGCGATTGGCACTGCTTTAATGATCATGTTAAAGAAAAAGAAAAAAAAATGGACTACTGCACGCTCTTTTCCGGTGTGTAAACCTTCAACTTATTGTACGTGTACATCTGTGATACTTCTGACCCCAATTTAATTGCAACCGCCTCAAGCGCCATTTCAGTTACCCTGGCACCACTTGTGGTCTGACGAGCAGAAAGTTGAAATGGGAAAAATGGAAATAGACTATTAGTCGGATAGAAAATCTGAAATATATGCATTTGCTTATATATATATATATATATATATATATATATATATATATATATAGGCAGATAATATATATTCTTTCATGCTAGTTTCATTAAATTTAGGTTCCCTATGAATTTGTGGTATTCTGGTATATGTATGACTAAATGGTGACGGATGAGTTTTTTGTATTGAATGAACAAATTGTAATGAATAAATTTGTCGTGAATCAGATTAACGAGACCTACGATGAAGAGTGTCGACCATCTTTTTCTCATTTACCCTTTAACCTTGCGCCACAATTGTTTTAATTAAAACAATAAATAATTATTATTTAAAATCTACTTCAATATACGAAACCCGATGAAGAAAGACAATTTATAAATGAAGAATTTGGAGTCACACATGAAAAGATTGTGCTAGATAGATAGATAGATAGATAGATAGATAGATAGATATGGAGACACTATCAGATATACTCATAGACGATTGCGTCTAGCATGAAACAGTCGGTCGCTTCTCAGTGTTGACTTCAATGTTCACTTTTATATTATATATATATATATGTGGGGGGGGTGTTTGTGTGTGTGTGTGTGTCTAAAAATTTGGAAAAAGAGACATTTGAACTTTTTGTACATGCTGAAATTTTATGTCATGGAATTTGTTAGGTTCCCTGGGAATTTGTGGTACCCTGTTATTCTGGTAGGACTGAATGGTGACGGGTGAGTTTTTTTGTAGTGAATGAACAAATTGTAATGAATGAATGGGTCATGAATCAGATTAGCGAGATCTACGATAGAAAGTGTCGACCATCTTTTTCTC